GAGATGCTCCAGTCCCCACGTCATCCTCGTAACCCTCCACTGGACTCTCTCCAGTAGTTCCCCATCTTTCTTGAAGTGGGGAGCCCAGAACTGGACGGAGCACTCCAGATGGGGCAACTGTCACTGTCTCCTATGGGGACAGGGGTAAGCAAGGAACTGGAGGTGCTGGATGCAGATCTGAGCCCAGAGCATCCCCCAAGCCCTGGGAGGCAGAGCAGGAAGGACCAGGCAGGAACATGCCAGGACATTGCTCAGACCTGGCTGGACTATCAGCACCTCCCTTGATTGTTTCAGCCAGGTCCCTTCATGCATTTACTTCCCTCCTTCCAGGGTCTGCTCTAAGCCTGGTGACAACACGACACAGCAGGATCTGGAGCCTGAGACCCAAATCACTCCCAAAACGGGGGAGGACGGTGGGGGCGGACAGGCATTGCTGATCACACCGCTCGCCTCGCCGACTCCTGCCCCTCCGAGCCGGGGGAAGCTCTTTGCAAAACTTCAGTTGCAAAGATTTGTAAAAACCCGACGGCACCCCCCTCCCCCCATCCCTTCCCCGCGCTCCTCAAACTGGATTCAAAGAAAACATAGCAGCGACGTGCCCAGATTGGGGTAGGAGCCAGCTCTGAAGTGCAGAAACTTCCTTTCTAGGCAAGTTATTTCAAAAACTGCCTACAATGGACTTTTCCGCACGCGCTGCTAAAGCCTCTGGCCTTGGCAGGGAGAAGAGGCGGGAGGAGGAAGGCTGGGAACCCCTGGGGGGGGGGGTTCCCCATTCTTCTCTGCCATGTGGGGAAACACTCCCCGCTCTCCGTATCATTTGCTGGAAAGAGTTGGTTGTCGATCTGCCACTACTTCAGGCCAGCCCCCCTCCTTGCACCCCAAGAAACCCCCTCTCCAGCAAGGCAAGGATAGAGCGGGAGGAGACCTAGCTCCAGCTGCTCCCCATATCCCTCCAGACGTGGTGATGGGGACACCGCACCGACCTCGTACCAAGAGCAGCCGTACAGGGGACGGTCACACTCCTCCTCACCCTCTCCAGGGGCAGGCAGAGGGGGGAGAGCATCCCCCTCCCCAGCACGCAAGAAACCTGCAGGCACCTTCTCCCTTGAAGACATCTAGCCCTAGGGATAATACATCTTCCTGGACCAGGAGGTGAGAGCAGGAATTTGCCATCTCCTCCTCCCACCGCCCGCTCGCAGGCCGGCTTCTCCCCCGAGCACTGGGTTTGCTGATCTCTGCTGCTGGGAGGGGAATTTCGGTTCCTGTTCACGGGGACGGGGAGACGCGGGGAGCCCCGTGCTGGGTTTTGGGCACCCAGGCACTGTTCCCAGGCTGCTGACCTGGGTGCGAGGTGTCCCTGCTTCTTCGCCGACCGGCAAGAAGAGCCAGGGCAGAGGAAGGAAAAGCCTTTCTGAGCCGAGGTTACCGATGCGCAGCCAAAGCCGGGCCTTGCAGACCATGGGCTGACCCTGCCTGCACCCGGGCAGGGCAAACACCATGGCTGCTTCCTTCCTCCGAGCAACCCGGGGCTCGCAGACCTTTCTCCTCCGGTCAGAGTGCAGCCTGGAATCCGGCGGCAGAGGGAGGACGAAAGCTTTGACACCGATGGGGAATATTGAGCCGGGCGAAGCATGGATGCAGAGGACTCCCG